TGCATAAAAGAGGGAGTTGATTTATTAAGCCTAATACCATAATATGAAAAATTTGCCTTTGAAGAATCTAATCTAAGCTGGATTTTTTTGACTGAGTTTTGACATAGTGATGCTGAGGAGAAACTCTTCCGTTTAGCTTATAAAATTGTGAGATCATGTGAAATATTTGTCAGACAACTTAAATTTAATATTAGTCTTGGACTACAGGTGATAAAGATGCTTTAACTATAAATTAGAATGATTTGTTTCAGGTTTTTGATTGTTTTGCAGATCAGCAATTTATGTTGAAAAAATGCCCTGCCCTGCTTCAAGAAATGGTTAATGTAATCTGCCAACTAATAATAATGGCCCGGAGCCGTGAAGGTGAGGAGGAAATGTAATTAATTTTGTTGTACTTTTTCTTGCAAGCATATGAAGATTACACTTCGTAGCTTTAAGATTTATAGATACTTACTGTAATTTTGTCTGCCAGTTCAATCAGCTTTCTCAATTCTGCTCATGATTTTTTTCATTTCTTTCCTGTATTTTCTATTACATAAGTCTTTATCACAACTCACTGTGTTCTTGAATTTAATTTTTTTCATTGTTTTATTGTTAGCTTTTCAAAGATTTAAAATTTTCTTTATTAATATTTTTGGAGATGGTTTATTCTGCATTTTAACAGTGAGTTTGAAATAATTTTTTAACTGATGCAATTATGATTCACCTGACATGTAATGTGTTTTCTTGACATGTCAGTATGTTTGCAATATTGGTAATGTTTGATAATTTACTTGTTATTGGAGGTGCTGCAAAGAATTTTTTTATTAAATAAATGTACATTTGACCAACATTGTATATTTTTAGTGTCTTATCCAGTAACTTCTAAAGGAAAGCCAACACCATGACCTTAAGAATTGAGGCATTAGGTGGGCCGGCCCGGTGGCGCACTGCTATAGTGCGCCGCTTGGGAAGCGCGGCGGCGCTCCCGCCGAGGGTTCGGATCCCACATACAGACCGGTTCCCGCTCACTGGCTGAGCGAGGCGCGGGAGCAACACCGAGGGCTGCGATCCCGTTGCCGGTCCCGGTCCGGTACGGGGGCGACACTGGGGGTTGCAATCCATTGCCGGACATGGAAAAAGACAAAAAAAAAAAAAAAAAAAGAATTGAGGCATTAGGGATGTTAGTGTGAATTTTGTTTTTGTGATGAATTGTATACTCCTGAATATGTAAAAAGTCCAGCCCTGTTGTTTCCTTTTTTCCTATTCTTTCTAAGAAAGGGAGTTTCGTGCTCCAACTTTGGCATCCTTAGAAAACTGCATGAAGCTTTCCCAGATGGCTGTTCAAGGCCTTCAGCAGTTCAAGTCTCCCCTTTTGCAGCTCCCTCACATTGAAGAGGACAATCTTAGAAGGGTTTCTAATCATAAAAAGGTAATTATTTGCTACTTTAAACTCAGTTTTCAGCAGCTTGTCATGTCACTTAACATGAATAAAAAGTTTTCTAGAAATGGTTACTATGAATTTCTCAGATTTAGAATGTCTTAAACATTCTAAAACTCTCAAGTGGTTCGGTTGACATTTTCCTAATTAGGCAGCTGTTTTATAATATTCTACTACTGTAAGTAATTTTGCTACCTTCTTGGGAGTCAGTGCATTTTAGCAGTTAACACTTTTTTCTCTATGTTACCAAAAATGAATGTACCAAGTAATTATGTACTGTGTACTTTCCAGTCATTTTATTCTTGGCTTAAAAGTTGGGCAATGGTTTATTGGTTGAACAAGAAAAAAGCATTAAAAAAATAAAATCAAATAAAGACAATTCTTATTTAGAAAATGTAATTATAGTAAAGACATGTTAATAAATCTTGAGGTATAGCAAAAATATGTATAAATGAAAAACTTGAGGAAATATAAGAAACTGAATGAAATTGTAATTCTTGTAGGAGATTTTAAACATTATTTTGTAAACAACTGAAGTGAGCAGAAGATAGATGTTGGATTTCATACTGTATTAAGGTAGAATTAATAAATGTATATTAGAAATTTGAGTTCTCTGTCCTTTTAAGCAATTGTGTTACCCTTATAAATTTGATCATAAGTTGTTATAATTAAAAACCACAGGATCTAAAAGCAAGAATTTTACATGCCTTATAATCTGATTCCCTGTCTGTGAAAGTAAAAATTAAATAATAGCATCAAACACCTGGAAATTAACACTCTCCTAATAACCATTTAGCCAAGGTGGATATCACTGCAGTAATGGCTATATTTAGAAAACAACAAAAACGAGAACATTGCATAGTAAACCTTGAGTGGGCTGCTGTACTTGGAGGTTTATTTCAGGTTTATTATTAAAGATTTTTATTCAATTGAAAGTACGCTGAGGACACCAATTGACATTAGTTCTTACTTGGGTCAAGATTCTGTATGAATGTTATTATATTCTTTTCCTTTAATTGTATTTTTTCTAATTTTAAAAAATAAGTCTATTAAACTTTATAATTAAAAAAATTCTTAATTTAAATTTTCATGAAGAAAAAGCAATGAAATGTTATATAGCTTTATTTTCTTTTTTGAAATGCATATAATCATAACATTTTTCTAAAAGTTGCTGGATTTTGTTTTAGTCAACATGCTAATAATAATTTTCTGTTTATGAAAAGTTTTATGAGTTAGGGTGTTTTTTTTTTTTTTTTTTAATTCAGTACAAAATTAAAACTATCCAGGATTTGGTGAGTTTAAAAGAATCAGATCGACATAGTCTATTGCACTTCCTTGAAGATGAAAAATATGAAGAGGTTATGGCTGTCCTTGGAAGTTTTCCATATGTAACGATGGATATAAAATCACAGGGTAAGTGGAAAATTTCTCTGTCGAACATTGCTTCCGTTTTGATACATTGGTTCTTAATTATTTGACTCATGATTCCCAAAACACTATATTTAGTGATATAATTTGTAATTAGACTTTGTAGAACAGTAGTTTACCTGTCAGATTTACTATGATGAAAATTATGTATACTTGATAGTTTTGAAGACACTGATAGAGTCCTACTTTTATTATCCTCATAATAGGATTAAGTCTTGAAGAGACTTTATTCTGTAGTTCAGCTTTCAGTAATTTTTTTTAACTTTTCAAAGAATTAAAGAGATTTTTTAGGAGTAGTGAAACGAGAGATACTTGAAATATGTTACTAGTGTAAAAGAAATAGCCGCCTGGTCCAAAAATTATTTTTAACACCCCAACTTATTTGTGTTAATTAAGCCTAGAAAATTACTGTTTTCTTCCACATTTCATGTTATTTTCTTACCTTATCTCTGTTTTTATATCTGCTTCGAGGGAAAAAAATATAAGTTATTTTTCTACCTACATAGTTGCCCTGTGAGTTCCCGTTTTAATAGCTGAATAATAATATCTTAGAATACTGTTGGAATTAGACATCATCTGTTCCATTCCTTCATTGTGGCAGTCTAAGCTTTAGCATTCATGAAGTTATTGGTGTAAGAACATTCTTGTAGATACCAAGAATAGGGAGATATGTTAGGAATGGTTTCTGTCTTCAAAGAGTTTATCCTTTAGTTGGGGAAATAGGATTAAAAATTAGAACATACGCTAAATGTTAAATTAATAACACGAACATTATTCATGCAACAAATACTGAATACTATACACTCTTCTGGGTGCTGGGGGAGTGGTGGTAAGATAAAGCCTCTGCCTTATTGAGTTTGTATTCTAATAGGAATTGAGGAATGGTAAATGGCACCCAAAGATTGGGGTGTTTGGGAAAGAAAGGCAAACAGTGCAACATGGTTTCAATTTGGCTGGTGGGTAAGATAGATGTAGTGAAAGCTTGGATTGTTTTGTTAGAGTTAGGATTTTCTTGTGGGTCCATGAGTTTCAGACTTTAAAAACACTAATCTAAAAGCTTTATTTAGGACTATACTGATTTAAACACAAACTGTTCATATAAAAATCTGGTTGGGACTTATACATACTCTTTTATATAATCAAGGTTTGTAAAAAGTACATGCTTCGGGC